CATCATAGGTATGGTGACCAATCTTCCAGCATACAACCATGATGAGAACTCATCAAATTGAGTCCAAGGCATTGTGTTATAAGCATGTAGCCAAGTACTAGATGTATATTGTTTACAATATGATGATAGAACAACATGGACAAAATCGAACTCTTATCCAGACCATCCTTCCATTTCCATGCAACTTTTTCTTGTTTAATACTGACAAAAGGACACGTACGAAAACCATTTAGAACCGATTTTTCGGACCATTCTAGTTCACGTGTTGTTGCATTACGATTTGAATGATTGTGTGTATTTGATGTTGAAACAATGTACTCGTTCTCATCTTTCATTAAACAACGGATTTGAAAATCACATTGAGGAAACTTTCGGCACTCTGAGCATCAATACGTAATTTTTTGACCTCCGTTTGTTTGTTCTGTACGTTTGATAGATACATTTTGATCATTTATGTACTATATGTGCAGTGCAGTAGTTTACTACTGAATTTTACTTCAATCGAATTGTAAGCAAAAGTTCCTTATACAACATGGACATTTGTACGATTGAATCTAGTTATATACATTGTTATCATTTTCACAAGACAATCGTGATAAAACCGGGCACAAAAGAGTGATTTTCTTCTCTTTCTATTTAAAAAATGAACCGGGCACAAATCGGTGAAAAAACCAGGCACATTTCTTTTTCCGGGCACAAAAGCATGAAAACATTTATTTGTATCCGGACCGGGCACTAATCAGTAGCATCGGGCACAAATAAATGGGAAAATCGGGCACAAAAATATTCTCACCCTATTTATTTGGACCAAAAGCAATGAATGAGCAAATGAATATTCAATGCGACAACGAATGCATTATGAGAAAAAAAATATATTAATGGTGTTTATTAGTAAAACGAAAAAGATATTTTTTTAACTTTTTGACGGACGTTGAAAATATCTCATACCGGCAGCCTTCAAGAACGCTGGGATGTCAATACGACCGTCATCATAACGTTGCCATAATTTCATTAGACATTCATCTGTTATAACTTTGGTTTTTCGACGTTTTGGAGCTGGAGCTCCCATACCATCTCGTACTCGTGCAATCGATACTAGTGATTGTTCCTTTTGGAGTAAATCAATAGCAATATAAATGTTTGGATGAGGTGAACTTACGTGTTTTTTCATTCGAGAATGTCGACCTTCCAAATAATTAATTGTTCGAGGTGTTATATTACGATAATGGTTATATTGGACCAGATTCTTCCATAACTTTACGTTTTAAAGTTTTTCTAATTTGTAATGTTTCCATATCAGTTCCATCAGGTAAATGTGTATGATCATCATGCACTACGACCGACGAGTCCGAATAACTTGTTACCCTAGCGTTACACTTCACACATACCCAATACTCTGAACCATTTTGATTTTTACGTTTGAGAGAATATCGACAACCGAGGTAACATAATTGTCTTTTGCCACGTGCAGATTCAACAAATTCAGCAAACATCATTAAAACTTCTTCTGACTTACCCGACATTATTAAAACAGTGTGAAAAGAGAGTGGTGTATCTGTACCTTTTATACATATTTTTATAAAGGTTATCATGTTATCACGACTAATCTACTTTCCAAATAAGTATTAGAAATTAATCAATTTGGTTTATCATTGCCTTATTGATGAATGTTTGTTCTCCTTGGAAATTTATTCGTTGTCACAATGAATATTCATTTGCTCATTCATTGCTTTTGGTCCAAATAAATAGTGGAAATTAGATCCTTATATAAAAAAGTGGCTAATTGAGATATATTTATATATAATCAACGGAAAGTAAATCCGTATATAAGAACACAGCCAAAGTGGAATATATTTATATGTAATCAACGGGAAGTAAGTGCGTATATAAGAAAATTATACTTTTCTATGAAAAAAAGCTAATTAAAATAGAAATTAATCAACGGACAGTAAATCGTGTAAACCGGAAAATAGCTATATTTTATCCTTATGATAAAGGTGGTTTATATCTTATTATCTATTTTAAAATCTTTCAATAGCTAGAAAGTATCTCATCTGTTTCTTTCTATAACTCAACGTTCAATACGATCGAAAACTTCACGTTTTGACTTTTTGCCAACTTTAAATAAGAATAAAAAAAATTTTTTTCTAATATCATCCATTATCAGACATTTACATCGACGAATGTGACTTACTTGCAATATCTCAGAATAATTGGAAAAATTAAACATTTTGTATGTGATCAATTATTCACATACGATTTTTTTGAAAAACTAATGGACGCATCCACTGCTGAACCAGTAAGACAATTGCTCTGTAAAAGCGGATTACGGAAACCGATTTGAACATTCCGACGATCGGACACTACTACAGCGACCTTGAATCATATTGCTCATAAGAACTTGAAGCTAGATGCCAACTACCCTTCGAGAAGATTAGAAAGTCGACTGAGTGAAACGGCAAACAGACGAAATTACAAGATGTAGAAAGTTATAAACATTTTGACTTTTTTCTAGAAAGATAATGTTCAACACGAGTTGGACATTCATGTAGTGTTTGATATGATAAAACTATACATAGAACTATGATATGATCATGAATACATTTATATAGCTGATTCGTTATCATATCATATATTCTGCTATAGCTTTCATATCACGCACTACAGTATATGAAGTATATCACGTGACGATTAATTATCTGATAGAAGAAATTCTCTGATGGAGTTTCTAAGAAATATACTCATTTTGTTGCACTAACTATAGAATAAGTATAGCAAATATCGGAAAACTAACTTCAGATATGTCATCTACGACTTCTCAACTTTTGAATCATCTTCTTCCGAAATCTGTACGACAAGAGTTGAGAACAAGTCGCTGTCTCAAACGAGGAAAAAGAGTCTAGAAAGAAGGAAAGAACTAGAAACCAACTACCCTTCGGGAAGATTGGAAAGTCGACTGAGTGGAACGATAAACAGACAAAACTGGAACATCCAGAAAGTCATAACTGTTTATGTATCTTTTATAGCATGTTATGCACATTACTATATCAGCTGATTCATTATCGTGTTATATATTTAATCTACTATAGCTTTCATCACATACAGCACTATAACATATATTTGCTATGAAATGAATCACGTGACGATTAATTATCTCGTTCGAAAAACGATAGAGTTATCTCAAAAATATACTCATTTTGTTACACTAATTATAGAATAAGTAGAGCAAATGTCCAAAACGTAACTTCAGATGTGTCATCTACTCTCCCTGCACTTTCGAATTTTTGTGTGTTAATTATTTGTTTAATCAACAATTCCTATATTCCTATATCAGCTGATTCATTATCGCGTCATATATTCTATTATAGTATAGCTTTCATCATATCCAGTACTGTAGCACATATTCTCTATGAAGTGAATCACGTGACAATTAATTATTTCATAGGAGAAACTGAGTGAAACTCAGTCGACTTAATAAGTCTTATCGTTTCCCTCGGTCGACTTAATTAAAGTGGTGGAAATGATTATCACGATATTTTTTGTTTTTGAGTGTAAACAATACTCAATTACAAGCATCTGAATACAACGCATGATGATAAGAAAATGTCAAATGTTTATCATTAATGATACAGGACATATACGTCAGAGCAATGGTTTGAACACATATTTCTAACGATTAAATATGATAAGAACATAATATGACCCTTACACGAGTCAAGACACTCTATTCTAATGACTAACTTTTCATTGTGATGATGAATATTGATATCATTAATGAATAGGTAGTCTTATCGGGTATATTATCTAAGAATAGTTGTACATACCTGCGATATTATATACATTCGACTGCCAACCGCAAATAGTTACTCTAAACAATTTGATTGCTGCTAGAAAATTTTTATTGCTTAGCGCTGTTACACATATAAAGCAATTAAATTTTCTGATAGGCAGCTCAGTGAAGTACCGATAATCTATACTATTCGTAACGAGGTACAAGTAACAGCCAAACTTGTGGCGAAGTATTCAGACAAAAGCAGATATATGATTAAAACGGCTATTTTTTAAATAAAACTCATTAGTTAACAGCTATCATTATGAATCATTAATGAGGCACTGTAGTTGCCTTTGCAGCACAGTGGGCACTTCCTCATAGAGCAGACGGCATTTTTTGCCGACATAGTTTTTTTGAATCCAAAAGCACTTTTTTATAGGTTTTCGCATACGGTATTTCCAGCAGTGTGGCAAAGGTGAGTCGTGGAGGGGTTTTCAGAGGGTTTCC